ATATATATATATATATATATATATATATATATATATATATATATATATATTTTTTTTTTTTTTTTTTTTTTTTTTTTTTTTTTTAAGGATTTTTTTTTTTTTAAGGATTTTTTTTTTTTTTAAGGATTTTTTTTACAGTATTTCCTATAATATTTGTTCTTCTGGAGAAAGTCTTATTTGTTTTATTCCAGCTCGAATAAAAGCAGTATTTATCAATATTATTAGCCCACTTAACCCAGATTTGTTTTCAATAGTCTCCAGAACAAACCACTGTTATTCAATGCCTTGCCTAACTTGCCTAATTAACCTAAATAAGCCTTTAAATGTCACTTTCAGCTGAATACTAGTATCCTGAATAATATCTAGTCAAATATTATGTGCTGTCATCATGGCAAAGTTTAAAGAAATCAGTTGAGTTATTAAAACTACTATGTTTAGAAATGTGGCTAATAATTCTGATTTAAAATGTATAGCTCTTATAGTGGAATTATTCAAGAACTGATTGATCAGTCACTGATTTCAAATCAAACCTGTGGGCTGGAAACCTGCTGAACGTCACTCATGTTTTAAAGATGTTCACCGGTTCCTCACATGTTAATGATAATCTTGTGTCTCTGCAGCACATGCTGTCTCCTCAGAGAGCACCAGAGAGACTAATGCAGCTGGCCGACAGCAACCTGGGAAGCCTGGTCACTGAGATGGACGAACTGCTTAACCGGGTGAGACACGCACACACAAATACACACTGATTTGGTCCTGTATCTTGGGTGGGGACTCTGTGATGTCAAATGATGACTTTTTTTTGTAGTATAGTTAGCGGTAGAACCAGAGAGGCAATTGCAGATTAGGAAGGGAAGTAGAGACTAAATAGTTGAGTTTTTAGTCATTTCTTGAAGACAGCGAGTGACTCTGCCGTTCTGATGCAGTTAGGGAGTTCATTCCATCAACTGGGCAGATTGAACGCGAGAGTTCGGGAAAGTGATTTCTTCCCTCTTTGGGATGGAACCACGAGGAGACGTTCATTCACAGAACGCAAGTTTCTGGAGGGCACATACATCTGCAGAAGTGAGAGCAGATAAGAAGGAGCAAAGCCAGAAGTCGCTTTGTAAGCAAACATCAGAGCTTTGAATTTGATGCGAGCAGCAACTGGCAGCCAGTGCAAACGGATGAGCAGCGGAGTGACATGTGCTCTTTTAGGTTCATTAAAGACCACTCGTGCTGCTGCGTTCTGAACAAGAGCTTGAACAAGGAGTTGAGCTGCATGTTCAGATAGGAAGGGTCGGACCTTTCTGATGTTATAGACTGCGAATCTGCAAGATCGAGCAGTTCTAGAAATGTGGTCAGAGAAGTTAGTTGGTCATCAATCGTTACTCAAAGGCTTTTTACCGTTTTGGATGCAATAATGGTTGCACCATCCATCTGGATTGAAAAGTTATGACGTAGAGTTGGATTGGTAGAAACTTGGCAGAAACTTTCCGGGAAATTATCTTTCACTTGTGGGCATCCGAGATTTTCTATGCATTTGCAGGAGACTTCCGGATTTCCGGAACACTTGATCAATTTGGGATGTCTGCATTAGTAACAATTGATGTCAAAAAGTGTGAAGCATTACTGTTTTTGTTTCCGTTAAGAGCAAACAAACCTTAAAACCATAGACATAAACATAAAATATAAGCAATCCCAGAACACAAGTGAGGGAGTGAATACTAAACTGTGAAACAAAAAAAAATGATTAAATGTAGGGGAAAACTGAACAAAGGAACAGAGCAGACACATGGCAATGACAGGAGAATATTATTTCACCAAAATCTTGTCATTTAATTTATTCCCATAGTTCAAAGCTGAGTTTTTCTTTTGGTGAGCAGACTTCAAAAACATCAAGACTTCAGACATCAAACACATAATACAAAGTTTTGACTGCTGTGCATGTTTATACAAGATGATAATTGATTAATTGGTAATGGGTAGGAATAATTTTAGTACTGATATATGCATCAATTAATAGAGTTTCTCATTTTCTAACAAACATGAAAATTACAATCTGCAACTACTCCTGGAGTCTATAAATCATGTCGAAAATAGCTGTCTTAAATGAGGATGCTTCCATCCTAATGTGTAGATGGCATGTTGGAGGTATTTAAATTAATATATACACTCACCGGCCACTTTATTAGGTACACCTGTCCAACTGCTCGTCAACACAAATATCTAATCAGCTAATCACATGGCAGCAACTCAAAGCGTTTTGGCATGTAGACATGGTCAAGGCAATCTGCTGCAGTTCAAACTGAGCATCAGAATGTGGAAGAAAGGGGATTTAAGTGACTTTAAACATGGCATGGTTGTTGGTGTCAGACGAGCAGGTCTAAGTATTTCAGAAATTGCTGATCTACTGGGATTTTCACGCACAACCATCTCTAGGGTTTACAGAGAGGTCAGAGGAGAATGTCCAGGCTGGTTCCAGCTGATAGAAAGACAACAGTAACTCAAATAACCCCTCATTACAACCGAGGTCTGCAGAAGAGCATTTCTGAACACTCAACACGTCCAACTTTGAGGCGGATGGGCTACAGCAGCAGAAGAGCACACCGGGTGCCGCTCCTGTCAGCTAAGAACAGGAAACTGAGGCTACAATTCACACAGACTCACCAAAACTGGACAATAGAAGATTGGAGAAACGTTGCCTGCTCTGATGAGTCTCCATTTCTGCTGACACATTCGGAAGCTTGGGTCAGAATTTGGCATAAACAACATGAAAGCATGGATCATCCTGCCTTGTATCAACTTTTCAGGCTGGTGGTGATAGTGTAATGGTGTGGGGGAGATTTTCTTGGCACACTTTGGGCCTATTAGTACCAATTGATGTCAAAAAGTGTGCATCATCTTAGACTGGTTTCTTAACCATGACAATTAGTTCACTGTATTTAAATGGCCTCCACAGTCACCAGAACTCAATCCAATAAAGCACCTTTGGGATGTGGTGGAATCTGAGATTGGCATCATGGATGTGCAGCAACTGCATGATGCTGTCATGCCAATATGGAGCAAAATCTCTGAGGAATATTTCCAGTACCTTGTTCAATCTATCTCACGAAGGATTCAGTCAGTTCTGAAGGCAGAAGGGTGTCCAACCTGGTACTAGTAATGAGCACTTAATAAAGTGGCCGGTGAGTGTATAATCGTAAGCAGTGTTTACCTTAACAAGCTGCACTGCATTCGAGTATGTTTTTTCAGAAGCATTCTTTATTCCCTGGTTATATTTCTACAGCAAATCTGATTGACTTGTTTTTTTTCCCCTGATGCTCTGCACCTCATGTTCCTGCGTAAGTCTGTTTGGTTAAACTCTACTTTACATATACTGCCTGAATGGCTTCTGTCAGATGCTGACCTTGTTGGTTTATTTTTCAGCATGAAAGAAAGCCGCAACATTAACTTGTTCATAGTCTGAAGTGTTACATCAGTTCTGCTCATTTGCGCTGAAGTGAACCTTTCACCGTCTCCTGAAAAGAAGTCCTTGATAAACTCGATAAATTTCAGATTTTCCACATAACAGAAGTTCAAGAGCCAGTTAAACATCAAGACCTTCAGCGTTTTTCTTCTGTCCTTTCGGGTTTGTGTAACACTGACCTTCCGAATCATCTCGCCAAACTGGAAATGTTGTAGTTTTGCAGGATTTCTTTCAGTTTTTGCTCTGAGTTGGCCCCAGAGACGTCAGATCTAATGTTTCTTGTTGTTTTTCATCCTCTGCTCAGCGTGTTACAGAGGTCGGCTTGTTTCGTGGGTTTGTCTCTTCTTCACACCGCTGCAGTAAAGCAACCGAGGCTGATCTCAGACTGTTTGATATAACCTTTTAAAGGGTTTTTATTTCTCTGTCTGCGCAGGCAACTAAAGTGTCTGCTGATGGGGAGCAGACGGCAGCGGATGCAGAGAGAAGCCGTAAAGCTGCAGAAGAGCTGGAACTGTACGTCAGGAACACACTGCTGGCTGCTGAAGGTACACACACACAACAAATAGCTAAAAACCATCATACTCAAAAATAAAAGATCATAATAAGGTATATCATTAACCATTTGTACCCAGATAGCTTACATATGTGGGCCACTTTAGGCAGTTATGCTGCACTGGTGGTCTTCCTTCGGCCCAGACAAAATGAATGTGAGCCTGAAGTGGCCCACCTGTACAATGGCAAAGGGGGGCCAAAGATTCAAATTCATATATGGGCCATTTAAGGCAAAGATTTGGCACTTATGGCAAAATGTAATCTGAATGTGAGCCTAATGTGGCCCATGTGGTAAATGATCAGTTTGGCTCAAATGATGAAAGACAAATGTAGGCCACAGTTGGCAAAATAGTGGCATAGTCGTTTAAAGGGCCATGAAACCCCCTTGTTTCAGAAGGGTGTTTTCACACCTCTACTCTGGAAAAAGTCAGAAAAGTGGGCGTGTCCAGCTCTGTTTAGGGGGGGGAGTGTCAGAGGAGCAAAAGAGGGATGATGTGGGAGTGTTGATTTGAGCACGCGCTGAGTTTCAGAGTCAAAACACACACACACACACAAACACTGGGGAGAAAGTGACTGTGTTTACATGGACATCTGTAATCAAATTATTTGCCAAATTATAAAATGGTGGACTTTAACTGCAGTTTGGCTCTTTCAATCAGTGAATTCATTCGTGCCCCTCGCGACAAACGAGATATTTGATTCGAGGAATTGGTGGAAGCGTGTATTTTTCATGCAATGTTCGATACCGCACGGCGAATGAGAGAAAAAAACTCTGCAGGTAAGCCGCATGTGTTATTCCGGTCACAAAATGCGGTGAAAATCCTACACGAGGTTAAAGTTTGGTTGTGGTGCTAACATGTTTACACTTGGTGTAATAGTTAGTTCAATACGAACAAACTGAATAAACAAAGAGCACTGGTCGCTCACTTACCAAATCTGTAGAGACAGGGCAATCACCAGCAACTAGTCTTTATTAAGAGGAGACGAGCAGCAAATCCGCATCTCAACACTTCTAGATGAGAAAAGTTCTCGGGTAAACAATGTTCCTTAAACACGTAAGTTATTGTTGTCTAGCATTGCGTACACTGTTAATCCACACGTGAGTCCAGCTGCGCTCTCACAGAGAGAAAATGAAAACAAAACTTCACTGCAGCAAACTATACTTCACGCTTGTTTTGCCAACACAATGTGGCGTCTCTCTGCCGTCTACACTGTAACATTAATGAATATTAATGAAGTTGCACAATAGAGCGTGCTGATTGGTTTGAACCAAGCCTTACTCATGCATTAATGCAGCACACTGTAAGACGTAATAAGGCCCTCTCTGGTACAGATGCCCAGTCTGCACGCTGAAACACACGCTATTATCTCGCAGCTTCAAAAATTAGTTTCAAACCGGAAGTACGAATTTGCTCGAAATAACGCAAAAACAACCAATTTTCACTTTTTAGTGAGATATGTGTGTCCTAATAGTGTTTTTAGCAGTGTGGGACACATATACGACTGTTAACAGCTTAACACATGTGTTTTGGCGTTTCGTGACCCTTTAAGGGTAATCTGGGTCTAAACCTAAAGTGGCTCACATTTGCAAGTGCAAATGTGGCCCTGTTATCTTAGGACATATGTGGGCCACCCAGAATATTTTTCTATCGACATTAAAAGAATGTTAAAATACAAAAAATAACACTACATGCTAAAATTTACACAACTTTTGAGGAATGTTTAGAGAACGTCAGCCAGAAAGGTGTCTTTGACTTTAGCTCAGTGTTTCTCAGCGCTTTGAAGGCACGATTTCAGGTGAAATGAAGTTCAACCTTTAAAAATGTCTCCTGAGACCTCACTAAAAACAAACTTCAGCTACTCTGCTCTGATCTGCCGATAAAAGTTAAACAGGAGTCTATAACAGTGTCATACCAGAGGCAGCTTTTGTTCTGTGTAAATATATTTCAGCGTCAGAGCGCCAGCTTTGTAGCCGTTGTTCACAACAAGTTTCTTTTTTTTTCTTTTTTTGGCTTCTACAGCTCTACAGCGTGTGTTTAAACTATCAAATTAGTTTCTGTTCTGCTTAATAGCAGAATAATGAGAGAGATATTGGTATAACTTTTATTGAAAGTCAAGTTTACACACAATCAGATTATTCTGCCTCTGGAAAAGCTCAGATGATGATGTCGAGGTTTTGGAGGTTTCTGATTGGCTAATTGACAACATTTGAGTTAATGTGAGGCACAGCTGTAGAATAGTATTGAAGGAAAAGCTCAAACACACTGCTTCCTTGTGTGACAACATGGGAAAATCAGCAAGCCAGAATCAACACAAAAGCCAGATTACCATTAGCTGAATTACACTGGAAAAAGACTCATGTTTGGAGACATGTCCTGTGCTCTGATGGAGCTAAGATTAAACAGTTTGGCCATAATGAGCAGTGTTACATTTGGAGGACAAAGGGGAAAGCGCACAAGCCTATGAACACCATCCCAACTGTGAAGTATGGGGGCGGCAGCATCATGTTGTGGGGCTGTTTTGCTGCAGGAGGGACTGGTCCACTTCACAGCATAGATGGCATCATGAAGAAAGAACATTATGGAGAAATACTGAAGCAGCATCTCAAGACATCAGCCAGGACATTAAAACTTGGCCACAAATGGGTCTTCCAAACAGATCATGACCCTCAGCATAATGCCAAATTAGTTCAAATGTGCTTTAAGAACTACAGAGTGAATGTTTTGGAGTGGCCATCACAAAGCCCTGATCTCAATCCTATAGAAAATGTGTGGGCAGAGTTGAAAAAGCTTGTGCGAGCAAGACAACCTACAAGTCTGACTCAGTTACAGCAATTCTGTCAGGAGGAATGGGCCAAAATTCCAGCAAACTATTGTGTGAAGCTTGTGGAAGGAGACCCAAAACATTTGACCAAAGTTAAACAGTTTAAAAGGAAAGCTAAAAAATACCAAGGAAATGTGTGTAAACTTTAGACTGTCTAGAAATTAATAAAAAAAAATCTCTAAAAAAAAGTCTCTTATTATTCTGGCATTTAGCAAATGTAAATCATTTAAGTAATCCTAACAGACCTAAAATAGTAAACGTTTACTATGATTTACCATCAGACATTTTTTAATAGTTATGTTCCTTTTTTTAGAGTGTATGTAAACTGCTTGTTTCAACTGTATACACACACACACACACACACACACACAATATAATATATATATATACACAGTTAAAGTCAGAATAATTAGCCCCCTTCGATTTTTTTTCTTCTTTTTTTAAATATTTCCAAATGA